AATATTTCTAAAGAAAGTATCATAAGAAGAAAGAAACACGAACTCTGTATTGTATGACGCGATACATTGTTAAAAGTAACGTTAAAAGAGAAAACCAAAATCGGATGCTGGAAAACCTAAACATCGTAATATCGTGACTGCTAAATAGTTAAGAAATGTTAGTAACAAGAAATACGAAAAAAATGTAATATCAACAAATAATAATATGTACACCAAGCTTGCTAAGCTAAGAAGTATTTACAAGTTACGGGTAACGGGTGGTTATGGGTAACGGGTGGATACTTCTCTGCGATCTCGGCAAGAATAGCACTTCTGCCTACGCGAACTCATAAATTTCCCCAGTCTCCCATCCTCTGGAAAACCATGTCCAAACCCAAAGAATTCTTATCTCCACCCTTTCCTCTATCAACTCTCAAACCAACCTGCCAACACGCACTAGACCAGCGTGGCTTAATGGCTGAAAACCCCAAAAGTAGCGGTTAGAAAGGTTTGGAGCGGAGGATGCTAAGAATCCCCAGAAAAAATCAAGCTACTACAAAGAGCGACAAATGCATATTATTTAATACAATGTTAGAACACTTATATCAGACCAGAAGATGCTGAAACTGGAGAAAGAGCTGAAAAGAATAAAATGGGAGATCATCGTCCTCAGCAAAATAAGACAAAGAGGAGAAACCCAAATTACTCTTAAATCAGGACACGTATTTCATTTTAGAGGTGAAGAAAATATTTCAAATGGTAGAGCAGGATTTATTATAGATAGAAAGCAGACACAAAATATCCCAGGATTGTATATCTCATATTCAAACTAAATTCAAGATGTAGCCTTAAGGTAATCTAGACATATGCTTCAACGACTACCCACTCGGATGAAGAAATTGAAGAATTTTGTGAGGACCAAGAAACAGAGTTACGTGCCACACCAGCTTATTACACAATAATTATGGGCAACTTTAATATGATAATGAGGTTTAAACACGATGATGCAGAAGTAGCAATGGATAAGTATGAATATGGCGAAAAAAATGTAAAAGGACAAACATTGCCGAACTAAAGAGCTAATAGGTAAAAGAAGATAGCTTATGGAAAATATGTCTCCAACTACACAACAATCAAGAAACTAAATAATGATATCTACCGGTCAATCTGGAAAGACCTAAGGGAAAACAATACAAGAGAAATAACTAAAATAATTAATTAAAATTAAACAAAAGTTTTATAGTTTTAAGGCGAAATACGAACAACATAGGAATTAATAATATGAAAAAAATAAAAAACAAAGATATAACTACTACTGATATAACCAAAATCCTTGCGGTTGTTGAAATGTATAAGTGCACCGACGAAAGACAATATCAGCCCCTGCCCAAAATCACAAACGAGGAATTAGAATTAATACCAAAAATAACTTCATACGAAATCAAGACGGCACTTTTAGAAATGAAAAATAACAAATCACCTGGCGAGGATGAATTAGTAATCGAAGCGATTAAACTAGGTGGAAATAAAGTTATTCAGGCGTGGACCAAGCTTTTTACCGAATCCACGTACCAAGGAAAAACTCTTTTTTTATGGAACAATACAGTCATTATTTTATTACACAATCAAGGATATATAACAGATCTAAAAAACTACGGTCCTATCAGTTTGCTTTCACACAAGAAACTTTTCACAAAAATTATTAAAAAAGACTGAACGATAAATTAGACTTCTATCAGCCTAGATAACAAGCTGGATTTAGATCGGAATACAGCACTAACGACCACTTACTAGTGATAAAAAACCTGATGGAAAAGTGTACAGAATACAACAAATCATTGGCTCTAAGTCATCAAAAAATGTTAAAAACATTGACAGAATACCGAATAGTTCATCGTTAGACTGGGACCTGAACCATGTTAGTAATAACTGGATACAAGCCGCACAACACAGAGACGGATGAAAAGAGCTAAGAGAGAGCCATGTCCAGCAGTGGATGCATAAAGGTTGATGATGATGATGACACTAAGTTTACATTATTTAAAAAAAATTCAATAATATCGAGACCAAAAGCAGACAATTTATTATTTAGATGAGACATGGTATGGCACGCACGATACCGCTAGCAGGGATGGACTGCTATTGTACACTGCTTAGATTACTAAGATTATTATACACTGCGAGTCTTTAAATGGTTGGGTGCGAAATGGATTAAACCATAGCGGAAAAAAATTACAAAAATGTAGTGTAGATTATCATCAAAATATGAATTTTAATGTATTCGAATACTGGTTTAAGAATACAATACTTTCTAATTAACACCCAACAGGTACAATTATGGGCAATGCCAGCGATCACTTGAGACTTCTAAAAAAATTCCGAACAGTTCGTCTTTAAAACAAAAACTACAAGATTTCTTCTCAGATAACGATTTGTATTTTAAAGAAAACAACAAAAAGAAACAATTACTTGAAATTCCTTATACTAAAACTTATGACAAACAATGTGTACTGGAGACGATTGCTACAGAACAGCTATACTGTTTTGAGATTACAACCTTACTTTTGTATTTTATCAATCCCATATAATGTAACCCTTATCCTATATATAGAAAAAGTGACTGATTTAATTCGATAAGAACTATCAGACATCGCAAGTGCCGACTGAAAAAAAAGCAGAAAAACCGCGTAGTTTATGTAAGAATAAATACAGAAGACAAGGCACGTTAATGTGGTAACTATTTCAGTTAAAACCATTTAGTTTTTCATTATAAATTGTTAAAAGAATAATATAAAATGCCGATGTATCACCTAGAATGTTTTTCTACAGGGTGGCAGATTGCTAATTTTGTGACATTTTATTTTTTTCCCATTATAAAAACGTTTTTTCTAAAATGATATTTTTCTGCTCATTGACTGTATACATTATCCACATTGTTATTTTATGATTTCATATTTACATCAATAAATTTGTATCAAAAGTAAAAACACTGTGAAAAAACCAATACCACGATACGTCCCTGCGCAGTGGCTAGTATAATTTCTTTATATCGTCACTTTTTTTGTAACGATTTAATTTACCTACAACATTGGGTGTTACTTGTAACAATATATAATTGCTTATAGGGAGTTGAAAGGAGTGACTGAACAATTACTGGGCTGGAAATTTAGGTAAGCAAATAAACTGAACCGTTTGCGAACGGCTACTCGTGTTTTGGTTGGAGAGCTGGATTGTGAATACGGTCTCTTTATTTGAGAGACTATGCAAACTAACTACACAAAAAAGAAATAAAAAAAAATATTTACAGAGATTTCCTGGGCAAAAAACACAAGAAGATTCCTAAACGATTTAAAATGGACGCCATTTAAAGAAATCCCCTTTCTGTTTAGAAAGAAAGGCTTTTCTGTTCTAAAAAAGTTTTTAAGGGTAATAATATTTTTAACAGAAATCATTTTAAAGTCCTGGTTTAAAGAGAAACATTACATATTTATTATTATTACACATAAACAGTTATTACAAATGAAATCATCTAAATTTATCAACAAACTATACATTGAGTTTAATTTTTTAATTTTGTTGAGGTGAGTTGAGTTGAGTTGAGTTGACAAAAAAGGATAATACCGTGTTTTTCAAAATCCCCGCATGGGATACAGCATTCAACAAAACGGTGTTTAACTAACTCACTAAACAAAGACTACCAAATACCATTTTGAATTTAAATTCACCTCTTAGCTCATGAAATTGCCGGTTTGTTATATGACAAGATCTTTGCTGTTCTCAACCCAATATGCTTCTCCTACTACACTTTACGAATAGCGAATTTTAAGACAATCCGAAATAAACAATGAAACCGACTGCTTTGGCAGCGGTTCATCGACGAGTGATATTATCCTTAAAAAAAGTTCGCTTCCACGTATTCATTTAACTTACCAATCTAAGTGGAAAAGTTCATATATATTTGAAGAGCAATATCCAAGCGGTATCAATATCAAACGAAACAGGCATTTGTGTTATTATAAACAAACTAAAAATATTTATATTATCAATCTTAGCGACGCAAAAAGATTAATAATATTTTTCGGTGTTTTAAAATATGCGAGGTAAAATAAAATTCTACATTTTCGATTTTCGATAGAAATGTGTAGGCAACAATAGTAATATCTATTAACCCGCGTAGTATATAAACATAAGTTAACCTTGTCCGTGTTAACCTCGCCGTAGCACGATTAATTGTTAAAGAAATGATATTTTAACTTGATACATTGGAATAGATGGAAATATAGGTTATCTAAAATAGAGGCCATCGTAGTGGCTGAATAATCTAATATATAAAATTTCCCTATCACAATGTTAGTTACCGTACTCCTCCGAAACGGCTTTACGATCTTTAAAATTTTATATGCGCATTCAATAGGTCTGAGAATCGGCTACTATCTATTTTTCATACCCCTAAGTGATAAGGGTTGTTCACCTTAATTTTTTTTTTCGACGAAATTTTTTATTTTTGTTTTTTTATAATGTTACATTAAAAAATACGTACAACCCTAAACTTTTACTTTTTTATCATCAACCCCTATTTTTATGGCTATTTTAGTAATTTAACCATTTTTCATCTCGCTCGATAACTGATCAATTATAGTGTTTTTAACTGTACTTCGATTAAAAATCTAAAATGTTTTTTAAGAAAATAAACATTTATTTTTATTACTAAAGTTTAATCATGATATATATGCTTAGTGTTACCAATCTTAGATTCTTCAAATTTGCCGCACCTTTACTGGTGAGTGAAATTCCACACTATACCATAAACTGAAGCCCTTCTCCTGTTTTACTAACATAACACTTCTCTCACTCCCTACACATTTTTTGGCCATCCATGATTATTGTTTATGCATCAAGTGTAGTCGTAACGTTCACAATTATCAATTTTCTATTTCTGTGTAACTCTCATAATAACTATTAATTATTACTATTTTATTCATAATAATACCATCATCATATATATAGGCAGTCCACGTCATATGGAAGAATATATACAAGATGCTATGGCTTACGTGCGCGAATATGGACGACCGTGTTTATTTATCACGTTCACATGTAATCCAAAATGGCCAAAGATTACATCTTTGCTATTGCCTGGCCAAAATGCAATACATCGTCATGACATTACAGCACGTGTATTCAGACAAAAGTTGAAATCTCTAATAAGTTACATTACTAAATTATATGTATTCGGTCCCACACGTTGCTGGCTGTATTCAGTTGAATGGCAAAAGAGGGGATTACCTCATGTGCACATTTTGGTTTGGTTAATCGACAAAATCCGTCCTGAAGAAATTGATAGTATTATTTCTGCGGAAATTCCAAATCCGTCTACTGACCAAGTGCTGTTTTATATTGTTACAGCAACCATGATCCATGGTCCATTTGGTACTCTTCATCGTTCATCGCCTTGCATGGCAGATGGAAAATGTACTAGAAATTTCCCTAAAGATTTCACTAATGATACGATAACAAATACCGACGGATATCCAATATATCGTCGAAGAAGTCCCGATAATGGCGGATACTCATTTATTAAAAATATCAGCAACACAGACATTGACATTGACAATCGTTGGGTGGTGCCGTATTCACTTCTTCTAAGCAAGACATACAATGCTCATATTAATGTTGAGTTTTGCTGTTCTGTAAAGAGCATCAAATATATTTGCAAGTATGTCCATAAAGGCAGTGATATGGCTGTGTTTAGAGTAGAAAATACTAATGTAAATGCTCCTCCAATTAATAAAAACGATAAAATTACGCTCTACCAAATTGGACGGTACATCAGCTCCAATGAAGCTGCTTGGCGTATCTTCGGTTTTCCAATTCATGAACGGGATCCAGTAGTTGTTCATTTAGCCGTCCATCTTGAAAACGGTCAGCGTGTATTTTTCACAACCGAGACGGTGATTAATCGTGCTTCAAATCTACCTGAAACTACACTCACGGCATTTTTTGAATTGTTTAATAGTATGGATGATTTTGGTGCCTTTGTAAGAACATTACTCTATTCACAAGTACCACAATATTTCACATGGGCTCAAAAAAAATGGATGCCCCGCAAGCAAGGCTCACCAGTTGATGCATGTCTCAATTTATTTAATGACTGTTGTTGGTTAATGTTACTGCCCCATTATCATTTCAAGATATACGTAAAGTGAATGGGCAACAGTATCCAACATATAAAGATGCATGCCTTGCACTCGGCTTGTAGGAAGACGACAACCAGTGGGAGTGTATGCTTGCTGAAGCTGCATTGAACTGTACAGCAATACAAATTCGTCTACTATTCGCTATAGTGTCTACTACATGTTTCACAGCTCGACCCTAGATATTGTGCTAGCATTGATTGCTATTGTGAAGCGTTGATTGCTATTGAGGATCTTTGCATTGTTATTACCAACGTATCACTCACTAATTTCGGTATGAATTCGCCAAATTGAACTGCACCTGATTTAATTAACACTGAAATGAATCGTGAACTGAAGTACAACACTGTAGAAATGGCAGCGATTGTTACTCGCAATATACCACTAATGAATGACGAACAAAGAACCATTTATGACAGTATTTTGCTCGCAGTTTCAGCAGGACAAGGTGGGTTCTTCTTTTTGGGGTGTGACTGGCAAAAAATTCCTTATTTCACCAATTCTTGCTGATATACGATCAAATAATGACATCGCATTGGCCGTTGCATCATCGAGCATTGCGGCAACTTTATTGGATGGAGGCAGAACAGCTCATTCAGTATTTAAGCTGCCACTAAATATTCAAAATAACCCTGACGCCGTGTGTAACATTAAAAAACAATGGTACATGGCTACCGTGCTAAAACAGTGTAAAATTATTATCTGGAATGAATGTACTATGGCACACAAACATTCAATTGAGGCGTTAAACAGGACATTGATAGATATTAAAAACAACGACAAACTATTTGGCGGCACTTTGTTAGTGCTTTCAGGTAATTTCAGACAAACACTTCCCGTCATTCCACGTTCAACATACGCTGATGAGATCAACGCTTGCTTAAAATCATCTCCATTGTGGCGTAATGTTGAAAAAGTACTGAAAGTGAAAGCGAAGCTGTCAATTTTCCCACAGAATTTTTGACCTCACTGGATTTGCCAGGCATGCCACCGCATAATTTACAATTGAAAGCTGGATCTCCAATTATCTTGCTTCCTAATTTAAACCCACCACCGCTGTGCAACGGTACGCGATTAGTCATTCGACAATTGATGAAAAACGGTATCGAAGCCAGCATTTTAAATGGCAAGTTCAAAGGTGAAAATATATTAATACCACGGATTCCTATCATACCTACAGATGTGCCAATTCAATTCAAACGAATTCAGTTTCCGACTAGATTTTCATTTGCAATGACTATCAACAAATCCCAAGGCCAAATGATGTCTATAATTTGTGGCTTAGATTTGAGCATACCATGTTTTTCACACGGGCAATTATACGTAGCATGCTCTCGAGTGGGTAAACCATCCAGTTGTTTGTGCTCGCTAAAGATGGGCTAACAAAAAATATTGTTCACGCTATAGCATTAAGAGATTGATTTTGTTTGTTAGGGTTACTATTATAATTAATATGTGATATGTAATTTTAAGTAATAAACTATAATAACTTGAAAATACTAGTGTTTGGCGTTTGTTATTTTTATATTCCCTTATCGTTCATAGCGCTCCTCGCCCATTTCACGCAAATACCACATACTTACACACTGATAATAAATAACGAACTTTTTGTCTACACTAGAATTTATCTAGAAACTGGAAATCATTTATAAGACAAAACAGCGTTTGTCGGGTCAGCTAGTATATCATATAAACGTGTGTAATCTTCTAGTTAAGTGATGAACCTTTACATATTACAGTGTAAACAAATATATGTCATTCTGCTTCATATTTATATCCTCCTTTGAAACCAGATCTACTCTGTTGTGAAACGATGTGGCGATAGACCCCATCAAGTATAGCTAACTTTTCATAATATAGCACTTAATATTTTAAAACCAATTTAAAACGTCTATCCAAGCAATAAGATGGCAGTCAAAATAGATAGATAACTTATAGAACCTATTCACACAGGCAATGATAAAAGACAAGGGATACACTAAGCTCTATGCTATTTAATTTAATCATGGATGAAGTGATAAAGAGCGTCAATAAAGGAAGAGGATACAAAATGAGGAACAATGAAATAAAAATTCTCTATTACGCAGATGATGCAATATTAATAACCTTCAAAGACTAGTTCACAGATTTAATAAAAGAGCAAAAGAATTTTACAAGAAAATTTCAACTCAAAAAATTAAAACGTAATGGATAAAGAACCAATAATACCTAAACTTCACTAAAGTTAGCATTAAACAAGTCCAAGAGTTAGCATTGTGGAAATACAATAGTCAGAAATTACATTGCCTAGCTATGGAGATCTTGAAAAATAAGTAGAAGTTCAAGTACAAAGAGCTTATTGATCATTAGGTTGCCTTAATAAAACTAAACCTATCCAATACTTTAACCGTGCGATAAAATCAAGAATTTAAAATGCCAGTATAAGAATAATCATGACATACGCGATAGAAACAAGACCCGATACAGCCAAAACACAGACAGTATTTGAAACAGCCAGCAGAAATGAGAACATTCGTGAGAATTACAGGAACCTTGAAGACCAAATAAAGAATGAGGAGATTAGAACAAAATGTAATATACAGGGTATAAACGAGTGGGGTAAGTAAAATAAGAAGAATGAAATAATCATATCAATAGACGACTGGCGGACAGAAAAGTCGTTTTTGTGTCTAGATCCGACTACAGTTTTTCTGGCCAATATCGGGCTACGTCTACACCCTTTGTATTTGCGAGCCATAAATCATCGAGGGTGCACTCTAATGGGCAAAGTCTCCAAAGTTTCAGATGCTCCACGTTCTGTATTTCCCCACATTCACAAAGTGCGTCGCTATCTGTCTTGATGTCCCATTTAATGAGGTTCTGTTTTACAGAGGCAACACCTATGTGTATGCGGTTGAGTGTCCGCCAGGTTCTCCAGTTCAGGTTCATTCCATTAGGTCGTTCTGGATGTAGAGGGAACAGTTCAGGTGGTTAGACGCTGACATTTTTCAAACCCGTATAATTAGTGCCTTTCATCGTAAGTTTGCCTGAACTTTTCCACATATTGTGAGGCCCATCAACGGTCGTCTGGTGATGCGAATCCAGCTACCCGGTAGAATAAAGGAAGGGGGGTAGGCTTCATACAACCGGTAATTATTCTACATGTTTCTTTTAACGTCGTGATTACTTATTGGGCGCGTCTAGATCTACCCCAGACGAGACAAACATATTCTCCTGTTAAGAAACATAATTCCTCAGCTGTTGACAGACCTGGGGGTTTGCACCCCTCTTGCTCCCTACAAGTTTCCAGAGAAGGTTGTTTCTTGTAGAAACCTTTTGGCTTGTGCTCTGACAGTAGAATTTATACGTTAGTGTCCCTCTGCGTTGTCCCTAAGCGTTGTCCCTCCCAAGCAATATTTAGTTTTATATGCGCCAACAACAGTTGGCTGTTGAATTCAACAGCAGTTGGCTGTTGTGGTGGAATGCACATACTTGGGTTTTAGTAGGGTTTGGCTTAACGAGTTTTGTTTGTAGTAAGTTGACATCATGGTTAAAGCCTCTTCCATTGTCGACTCTACTTGTGTAAGTGTTTTCCCCTTTACGACTATACCAAGGTCGTCAGCGTAAACAAAACTCTTAGACTGAGGGTGCATTAGTTGGTCGTTGGTGTAGATGTTAAATAAGGACAGCTCCAGAACGCTTCCTTGAGGTAGGCCATTTTTTTGGGTTCTCCATTTTCTCTTCTTTCCATTTAGCACAACGTAGAAGCGTCTATTACACAACAGTGATCTAATGATATTTACCAAGTCATAGTCAAGCACAGTGTTATAGATCTTAGTTAGCAAGGTTCTGTAGTTTATCGTATCATAGGCCGCTGTGAGGTCTATGAAGGCTACGCCCACTATCTCTTTCTCCTCAAATCCCTTCTCTATGTATTCTGTTAGGTTCAGCACTTGGCCTGTGCATGATTTATCTGGTCTGAAGTCTGCTTGTTGTGGGATTAGTTTTGCATCTAATGTTTCCTGGATGCGGTTCAAAATGAGGCGTTCATACAATTTATATAAATGGCATAGCAGAGATATCGGACGGTAGCTACTCGGTAGTTCAGGGTCTTTCCCAGGTTTCAGAAGGGTTCCTACTACTTTTGATTTATGCCACAGTTTTGGAATCTGGTAGATAGAGCGACAGATGTTAAATAGATCGAGCACCCATTGTCTTGCTTTCTTCCCCAGGTGTTTTATCTGCTCTGTTAGGATTTCATCCACCTCAGGTGATTTTCCATTTTTCATACGGTCAATACCATTTTTGAGCTCTTCGATGGTAAATGGGTTTCGCAAGAGAGTTGTTTCCTGATCTTGAGTTTTTATAATCTTTGGCGTTTTGCAACAATTGTTTGTTTTGCCATGTAGAAGCAGTTGGTGGGCTATCTGATTTGGCGTTATTGCACATAGCTTTTTCATCTCTGTGGGATCACTATTAAGTTTTTTGATTCCAAGCCTGCTTACTACTCTGCGCCACATCCATTTTACTTAAACTCTCGCTCCACCGTTGTTGTCTGGAAGCACTTAGTATTTGCTGCAGTCTCTCCCTTAACTCTGCCGTAACTTTGCTAAATGGGTCTTTACTATATGTTTCGGTGTACTTTGTCCTAATGTCTTTTGCTTCATCGCTTAGACCAGATATGTAATGTTGTTGACATCCTCTGGGTGTGTTTACATGAGATTCGTTTGATGAACGCATCATAATTTTTGGGGATCGGGACTATATTTTTAACTTGTGTTTTCAATTCATCAGTAAAATTTTCCCAGTTCACTTGTTTGAAATTAAACCTTAGTTTGAAAGGGATTTTGGAAGCTTTTATACGGTTATTCCCATGGGCCTATGTTGCG